GTCCTGGAGCTTCATCAGAACTCCAGAAAGTAACTCCAAGGGGACTGACTGCCCGTTTCAAGCAGGAGCCTTACCCAGCCCCTACTGTCAAAGTCACGCCCATCCATTAGGCGTTAAAGCTAAATGAAAACGGGTCTGCCCCAGAAAGCTACCTACTAACCAGGCAAGATGTGCAGAGCACCAAAACAAAGTGCAGGACTTTTGGTTCTGTTTTTAAGAGTAAGACCAACATGAGAGAATGCTCATCTCATACATAGACCGTTTACTTTTTTTTTTTTCTTTGTAAGTTTATTTAATCAATCTCTACACCTAACATGGGGCTTGAACTCACAACTCCAAGATCAAGAGTTGCATGCTCCTCCAACTGAGGCAACCAGGTGCCCCTTACGAACTTCTTTTAATCTGAAGGCAGCTCCATAAATCCACATCATCGATATACAGATAATCCAAATCTGAAATTCTTAAAATACACACTACCTTTGTTTATAATATTGTTGTTCAACATGTTTTTAAACTATATAAGTGATCATACTGTATTTTTATCCTTCAGCAATTTGTTTTACCTTATCTTTATAGTTTTACGATTAGTCATGAGGATATATATATAGGATATATGCAGCTTCTCTTCATTCACTGTAACAACTAAATAGTATTTCACTGTAGGAATCTATGATTTTCTCCCCCAATCTCCTGCGAATAAGCATTTAGATTGTTTCCTATTGGTCACAAACACAAAAACAGGATTAGAACGAAATACCTACTTCATTAATCTACTGTTTTCCAGTTGATTCAATCAGCAATTCATAAAATAAGTAAGATTCTATAGCCTAGGAACTTTGAAATCCTGGAGACCTGGGATCTACAACTGGGACCAGCTGTGTTCTTGCACCAATTGTTTAAATTTCCCTTTACCTCAGATTTCTCATTTGTAAAATAGAGTTAATGAAAATTACTACATATTTACCATTGAAAGGACGAAATAAGGTATTGGAAAACGTGCATTCTGGCACACAGTGTACCTTCAATACAGAGTAGCTACTATTGTTATCAACAACCTCTCCTGGGGTGCCTGGGTGGCTCCACTGGGGGTCTCCCTTCCACTAGGTCAGGATCCCAGGGTCCTGGGGTTGAGCTCCAGATCACATCAGGCTGCGTGCTTGGCGGGAAGCCTGCTTCTCCCTCTCCCACTCCCGCTGCTTGTGTTCCCTGTCTCTTGGTATCTGTCTCTGTTAATAAACAACAACCACCACCTCTCCTTTCAATCAAAATTATTTAAGGTACTTCAGGAGCTTCAAAAAACTAATAATTTTTGGGGGGGTGCCTGGGTGGCTCAGTGGGTTAAAGCCTCTGCTTTGGGCTCAGGTCATGATCCCAGGGTCCTGGGATCGAGCCCCACATCGGGCTCTCTGCTCAGTGGGAAGCCTGCTTTCCTTCCTCTTTTCTGCCTGCCTTTCTGCCTACTTATGATCTCTGTCAAATAAATTAAAAACAAAAAACTAATAATTTTTTTAGCTGAGATTTTGCTATGTACTCTGTACTGATTATTTCTCAGAAGACTGAACAACAAAAATGTTCAGTAATGCAACAAATATGGGGGGGAAGGGAGCAGTAGGAAGGCTGATAACCTGGGAATTTGAAAAACCTGTTTCTAAGTAGGAATGTAAGTGCTTCGGTCCACTAAGCCCTCTCAAGGATAAACATACTCATTCTGAATCCTAACGCAGTGCTGTTCAACAGAAAAATGTGAGCCACATAAGTAACTCCAATTTTTCTAGTAGCTGCATGAAAAAAGTTAATAGCAATAGGGAAAGTTAACTTTAGTAATGTATTTTACTTCACCCAATATATACGTGCGTGCGTATATCATTTCAAGATGTATATAATATTTAAAAAATGAGGTATTTTACTTTTTGCTTTACACTGAATCTTCAAAATCTGATGTGACTTTTACATTTGCAGCATGTGTCCAGCCCAATCTGCCCTACAGGAAGTGCCGGACAGTCACATGTGCAAAGAGTTAACCAATTTGACAGCACAGTATTAACCCATGGTTTGCCAGAAAGATCCCTGTACAGTGTTTTTAGCAAAGACGTCTGGTTTACCAGCTAACATAGTCTCAATGCCTTTTACCAAAGTAACTCACAAAACTTCGGTTCTTCCCAATACAAATAGCTCAACTCCATAATTTTAGCAGAAGCTATCACAGTGGAGGAGCAAAGAGGAGGAGAATCATGACTCACAGTTTATAAGACACATTCTTAACAAGGATTTAATTTCAACCTCCCCGAAGCTCAGGGAGGTAGATGATTTACAGATGGGAAAACAGGAGCAGGGTTAAGTGACTCGCCAAGTCCTATGGTAAGTGGATCCAATGCCATGTCTCCGGACTCCACAGGCCGCACAGTTGTACAAACGCAAAACGTTAAGTGGCCTCTTCATCTTCAGCAGAGATCTAGCCCAGTGACTGAAATAACGGTATTGACAGGCTCTAGATTTTTTTTTTTTTAATTTGACGGACAGATCACAAGTAGGCAGAGAGGCAGGCAGAGAGAGAGGAGGAGGAGGCAGACTCCCTGCTGAGCAGAGAGCCCGATGCGATGCGGGACTCGATCCCAGGACCCTGAGATCATGACCTGAGCTGAAGGCAGAGGCTTCAGAGGCTTTAACCACTGAGCCACCCAGGCGCCCCAGCAGGCTCTAGATTTCTATTTGCATCAGAACTTCAAATGAGGGCTTTAAAAAAAGGCATCCAAATCTGCGCAAAAACATCTGAGTATGAAAAAACCACAGCAATGGTCAAGCAATCACGAATATAAAGGTGGACTAGTTCTCTCAAAAATTTACTACCCAGGTGAGCAAAGTCTTTACAAATTAAACCCCATTTTGGTCTCCCCAATCTAATGTATTTTTGTTAAAGCACAGAAACTCAAACTACTTGGCTGTTTAGCTTAAGGACCGTTACAAAATGTTTTTAAGTAAAAATGCAATTATAGGCGCCTGGGTGGCTCACTGGGTTAAGCCTCTGCCTTCAGCTCAGGTCATGGTCTCTGGGTCCTGGGATCAAGCCCCGCATCGGGCTCTCTGCTTGGCAGCGAGCCTACTTCCTCCTCTCGCGCTCTCTCTCTGCCTGCCTCTCTGCCTACTTGTGAACTCTGTCAAATAAATACATAAATAAAATCTTTAAAAAAATGCAATTATAAGGATTACTGAATGTTGAAACTCTACGAATCACAAGGTTCTAATAGTGAATTCACCATGGGAAAATACACAGCCTTCCCTTTTTAAGAATACTAACCAAAAGACAATATACCAGAATTTTATTAGTGGTTACTTTCAGTGGTAGGTGGGTTTGTCTATTTTCTCCAGTGAATACAGGTTAGCTTTATAGTTTAATATTAATACAGGACTTAAACTTACTAAGGCCTTCAAAGGTGCCTTGCTTGGCTCAGCAGGTAGAGCACAGTAACACTTGACTTCTCCAGGAGGGGAGTTTGAGTCCCCATCTTGGGAGTAGAGTTTACTTTAAAAATAATAAAATAAATATACTAAGGCCTCTAAACACAGATAAGAGCTTAATATAATTTCTTTTCCATTTTACATACAACTATTATTCTAATGCCAAGCACATCTCATGTGACTGTTAACAGGATCTCGATTAGCAAATCTCTCCAGAACAGAGTTTACAAATTCTGTCTTATAAAGTACCTTCCAGCGCTGATATTTATTAACTTTTTAATTATTTTAAATTTTTAATAATCCTTATATACACCGTAGGGGCCTAGAAACATCAAGTTCATTTTAGTTCAAAGTCACAATCCTCCCTTTTTCCTGATATTGCACACTGAAGCAATCTGAGTTTTTACACCCACTAGCTTTTTTCTAAAAAAAGATGTGTACAAACGAATTGGCAGTCTATAGGAGCTTAGACACTCTAGAATGCGGTATCAACCATTGTCGGCGTAACTGAGATTTCTTTTTCTTCTAGGTCTCCAGAGGCTTCTTCATTAAGAAACACTTGTTTGTGGCGCACCTATCAATGGCCAGACTCTAAACACACCTGAGAAGCAACTTAAAGAAATAGGGCCCTGAAAGGCGAACGCTCTCAATCGCAGAGACAAACCAGTAAACAACTAATTTGAATCCAAAACGATACGAGCCATCTGGACATATGACAAAGTGCCAAATGAACACTCCTGGGGGAGATTAATTTGGCACACCTCCTAGGTGTGCCACGAGGGTCTAGGGGTGAGGGGAGGGGGAGGGGGAGGATTTGAAAATGTTTTCCTCAGCTTGACTTAAAAGCAGGAATCCAGCAATATCCCCAGAGCCTGGAGGCCACAGTACTTTCCATCTGATCCTCCCCCGTGTGAAAAGTGAGGCTAGCAGAGCCCAAGCCTGACCGCCGGCCTGGGAACTCGGCTACGTGACCACCCGGGTGGGGCCGGAGCCAGGCGGTCCTCTCAGATAAGATCTGGGAACCCTCCTCCTCCGGGCCCCCGTGGCAGGCCACCACCTGTTCACTCCTCTCACCGTCACCAGTGGAGGAAAAGACTCCGCCCAGCTCTGGGACCAAGCGCAGGCACCGATTTGGGTGCAAAATTTGATCCCTGCCAACCCCAGAACAGAAGTGGGCCGAGATTTGAGGGCCGGCAGGGCCTGGCGAGGCTGGGCGGCTCCGCCGCCCGCGGCGAGCTCAGCACTCAGCTGGGTGGGGGCGGGGGTTGGGGGAGGGGCACGGTGGAGTCACCCGGGCCGGACGCAGAAGGACTGCGCCCCGCGCCCTCCGTGGGCCTGGAGGGGCGCCCAGCAGCGCCCTGGCTCTCCCGTGTCCACCTCCTCCCGGAGGGCGGGCGGAGAGTGCGCCGGAGGTAGGGGAGGCGGGCTCCCACGCAGGAAGGAGAGCTGCCCCCCGCCGGCCTCGGGACGCAGGGACTACCACGCCGCACTGCGAGCGCCCGCAAAGCCGCGAGCGCCCGCATAGCCGGGACCCCCCGCTTTACCTGGTCCGGCGGAGGCTCGGGAGCGAGCGAGCGGGCGGGCACGACACCGGCCCTCCCTCACCTGGGCGGAAGTGAACGGGCCAGGGTGACCGCGCCTCACCTGGCAGGCCCTTCCCTAGCACCGACCCTCCCCTCCCGGGGCGGGGCGCCGGGGTGGCACGCGTGAGGGGGCGGAGGTAGACTGGGCCGCGGGAGGCTGATTCTGGGGAGGAGGATGCGGGGGCGGCGGACTTTCCTATTTTCGGCAGGTGAAATTCGTCTGGGCGCGGGAGGGTTAAAGAGCCTGGAAAAGGTGGAGTCTGGGGGCCCAGTGGGCAGGTGAAACTCCTGGTGGTGGGGGCAGCCCGTGCTAATGGGGTGGGGAGATCCTGCCGGACTGGTGTTGTAAGAGGGCTGGGCAGATAGGGAGACTCCAAGGCAAGCTAATGAAAGGCTGTTGATGAAAACATGGTCCGATTTAATTAGTCCCCCATGGTCCCTTTCCTTTCAGCTTGGTCATCTCTCCCTTTTCTGTTATCTGCTAACCCAACATAAAACTCGTAAGAAGTATACCTGGGGAAATTTAGTTGGAAATAAAGGAATCTGGCAATATTTGTCTACAATATTCAGGGCACTAGCTTATACACACTGATGCGAGAAATACGGGCAGAGGAGAAATATTAAATTTCCTGCCACCTATAGCCCACTGACAAGTCCTTGAAACAGGCAGTGGCTTTCCTCTAGGAACTCAGATGCCTGGATATTAATACTTTGCTAAGGGCAAACAGCAATCTTAGCCTGGCCCCTAGAATCCTGTGTCTACTTTAACAGAAAAATTCCTGGGGCGCCTGGGTGGCTCAGGTCATAATCTCAAGGTCCTGGGATCCAGCCCACATCAGGCTCCCTGCTCCAGGGGAAGTGTGCTTCTCCTTCTCCCACTCCCCCTGCTTGTGTTCCCTCTCTAGCTCTCTCTGTCAAATAAATAAACATAATCTTTAAAAATTTTTTTTTCTTTGGAAACTTCCTTTATGTCTGCCCAGCAAGATACACATTGGCAATCATCCTCCAAGCCTATGACCCCTGACAGAGGGTTTACTAAAGGACAGTAAATGACCTTTCCCAAGAGTAGCTAGTCCCCTCCAGATCCTGGAGGCTTATGCTATCACTCACTCCCTCCCAACTTGAAAGTGTATAATGGGGCCATAACCCCAGTGCAGCTTTTTCTGCTCAAAGGTCCCCTCACCATGCTTTAATAAAACCACTTTTTTGCACCAAATACATCTCAAGAATTCTTTCTTGCCGTGGGCTTGGAACCCTAACATCTTTCCTACCTCATTTTCCGTACCTCATCTTCTCTGTGAAGAAACTGCACTCCTCATTGGTGAAGTGATTTGTCCAAAGTTTGGGACCACATGGGATCTTCTGACTCTTAAGTCCTGTTTGACTTCACTATACATTTTAACATTTTTATTCTTGATATCACAACTTGACATTGAGAAAGATGTGTATAAAACCTATAATTCCACTCTTTTTAATTACTCCATTCTCTTTCCTGTAACTAACTTAAGAATTTTGATAATAGGCCTTTTACTTTGTATAATAAGTTCCATGCATTAGCCATAAAGAAAATCAGTCTTCAGGTCTGTATCCATTGAACCAATGCAATATTTGTTAGGCACTGTGATTGACTCTATAAAATGTTTAAAAAAAAAAAAAAGGAATACCTGTCCTCAAGGAAGATAAGGCATATATACAAAACAATTGCAACATAAGAACATTTGTTGTAAGATAAAGCGCTTGGCACTTAACAGTGTTGTTAGTTTGCTTGTTTTAAAGGAAATATTACTTGCTAGGCCCGGTCAGTCTTCTCAGGAACTAAGAAACTCTTAAGGGAAATACATTTCTACAATAACTTAGATTACCGAATAGAATGAACCCAGAACTTGCAGAAAATAGACAATGCTGTCGAAAGCATCTCTTAGGACTGAAACAGGTTTTTAACAGTATTTGGAATAAACGTAAAATGGAGAAGTCACTGGTACATCTTACAGGTGGAGACCTTGCTTGAAGCATCACCTGGGAAGCATTGGGTCTCTTTCGTCTAACATTTGATGGTGGTTATGAACATATTTTCCCTCTTACCCAAAAAATAATGTGACTTTAAATTGATTGTTTAACAAAGTTCAAGCTTCTTTGCTTAATATGCAAGATCCTTTAAACTCTCCTTCCTCTTGTAGAGTCTTCAACCTAATCTCCAAACAAGCCTAGTGCAGGTGTTTGGAGTCACACCAGAGCTTCTTGGTGGGTTATTTCTCCCCTTTCCCAAGCCTGGAAGGTCCTGAAAAGCCCCACCCTTCCCTCAGGGCTAGACTTAAGTCTCACCTCTGAAGAGATGCTGCTTTCTGGTGACCCCAGCAAACCATCGCTACCACATTTCATCTAATTTCTCCACATTTTTGTGTTGATTTAATGTGAGCTTTCCTTTGGCTTTTACCTGGAATTTAAAAACATTTTTTTAAACTTATTTAAATATATTGTTTAACAAGTTTACTCTATGATAAACATTTTGGGCACTGAGTTGGTTTTTGTTTATTTTAACCCCTGAGAACCCTCAAGAGCGTCTTATTCATAGAATGATGAAGATGAACCAAAATTTTAAGAACATCTCTGTGAAATCAGAAGATCTGAACTTGAAACCTGACTCCACCAATTCTGAAAATATGTGATTTTGGCAAGTTACTTAACCCTTGTAATTCTCATTAGTGAAATTGAGGTAACGGGGCTTACTTCATATGGTAGTTTCGAAGGTTAAATGAAGAAATCCATGTACTGGGGCACCTGGTGGCTCAGTTAGTTAAGTGTCCACCTTCAGCTCAGGTCATGATCTCTGGGTCCTGGGATGGAGCCCCGTGTCAGGCTTCCTGCTCAGTAGGGAGTCTCCTTCTCAATCTCTCTCTCCCCTTCTGTCCTTCCCCACTTCTGGTTCTGTCTCTCAAATAAATAATTAAAATCTTT